TTTTTGGTTCACATAAAGAAAAAAATGGAATTAGTGGGTAACGCAAGTAGAAGAGTCAGACTGAAAAGAGTAGTAGATAAGAACTGCTTGAGGTAACAGCCTGAGAAGGGAAAAGAGAGGAAGCAAGAAAAGGAGTGAAGAACAGTTATGTATAAAGATAGTAACCAAGATGGAGTAAACTAAACTGTAAGCAGAAAGACAAAGAAAAGAGAACAGTATGTACCCTTACGTGCACACATGATTAACAGTGGAAGGGAAAAAGAAGGGAGGCTGCTGGGAAACATGGGGCCAGCAGGCCCTTAGGAAGTTACCAGGTGGGAATTCTGACCAAGGATAGCTTGATGGCTTTCTAGAACGAGAGAGAAAAAGTGTAGACTCCTATAAGGATGTAAACAGGACATTAAGAAAATATGCATTTGCCATATGTTTAAAAAATACTTTTCTAATAAGAGGGAACTTACTGTAGAATATTTGGAAATTACAAAAAAATTGTCTTTAACGCCCTTAGCCAAGGATAACCATACTCAATATTTTGGCATTCATACTTTTAATTGGGAAAAAAAGTTACGCTATATAAAGTTACACATTTTCCTGTATGTTCCTTTAAAGATAGTGTTAAAACATGAGTAAAGACTATATAAGATTTTGCTCATTAAGATGTATCATAATTTAAGAACTTTATTATCAACTGGGTCATTTAGGTAGTTTCATACTTTTAAGTTCTCAAAATAGCACTGGAATTTATATACTCTTGTACATTAATCTTACTGCACATATCTGAATGTTTTCTTAAGATAATTTAAAGTAAAATCACTAAAAAGATATAAAATTTTTATCAATCAATATATACTGCTAGGTTGGCTATATCATAATACCTTTGCCAACAATGTCCAACCTACCAATTTGATAAGTCAATATCCTCTCATATTTTAATTTGCATTCTTTGGATTAGACATAAAACCATTTTGTATCCTATGCTAATTGGTTTTTTATTTTTATCAATAATTGCTCTATATTACCTTCTCTACGTATGAGATCATTTATCTTTATTTCACCCCCACAGCAACTGCAAGTCTGTGTTTTCTTTGGTGAAGGCCTTCTGTTAATAAATGAGCACATCTAATGGCTAAAAACTGAATCTGGAGAAGTGCGGAATATGGCAGTCTCTGTAGCAACTTCTTTCCATAGAATAAAATCTTCATGGACTGAAAATTACTTGGGGTTTTGAAAAAGTGTTTCTAAAGTCCTTATGTGCACCTTCACATTTCTAAAGCCTTGTAAGGACTACATTCTCAACACATGAAACACATTTTTTCTTGTAAAAGCCTATCTCCTCCATACATTCTCTCTCCCTCAACTGAGGAGCTGACACACCCCTCTCCTAAAAAGCAATGACACACTGTGACTAAAGCCTATGCAGTATTTTATTTATGTTGATCTCTCCTAACTAAAGCCTTATAAGGCCTTCCTAACCAATCATCCAGTAGAATGTTATATAATCTGAGTATTTTATGTATTGGGCAATATCAAACATGTAGAGTTCATTTATTTCCAATATCTCATTTTCTAGAAGAGGAAACAACAAACAGTTCAGATGAGTATCATTCTCATGGTCAAGAAAAACCAAGGCCCGAACCACTCCTTACTAATTACCAGGTCCACTGACCAAACACAGTCTCCTAACTCTACACAGCTGGTGATACCCAGCAGCACTGCTAAGCATTCTAGGAATGTTTCTGAATGAGAAAGATAAAAGACTGAATTTTCAAATAAATCAGAACTTAAAGATTTGAATATGATTTATTTTAAAGCAGTCACTCTGGAAAACTGAAGATATTTCAATGATGTTAAATTGATTGAAAGAGTTTTATAATTCCTCATTGAAAGCACACATAGGGCCACTACAAGAAAATCATAATCTCTAAACTTAAGTCAATTTCATAATTATATATCATTTTATACTCCAACTGATGTTACTCAGTTTTCCCATTCACCTTATTCTCTGGGATTAAATGACCTTTAGCCATTTCAAAAATTTATATTCAACTTCAAAGCATCAAGATTTGCCATCACTTATGATATTCATAGAGAATGTAAGATTCCAAAAGATGAACTTAAGATGTCTGAAACAATGATAGGTTTTTGAAACAATGATGGCTTTGTACCTGTTTATAGTCCTCTTTCCAAAGAGCAAAGATTTGAGGTAGCTTTATTACTATTTTGAAAAACACAAAACAAAACAAACAACACTTATTTAAAGATGTAAATTGTTTTTAAAAGAACATTTTTAATTACACCTCATGCAATCATGTAACTACTGATAACTCTCTAAAACTATATTTGGAGGATATCCCAAAGATGAGCATGTTAAATTATATTGAATATATATTTAAATATGCAGAGAAAAATGTTTTAAAGTACATAAACTAGAATGTAAATAATGATATCCATTAAGAAGTAAGATTATGAGACATTTTAATTTTTCTTTATTTTTGCTCACTTGGACATTTTTTACATTCCTACCATGGGTAGGGAGGATTTATATAACATATATTTACATGTAACTAAATATATATCTATATATCTCAAAAAAAGTATATAGACATATTTTTAAATTCCAAGATCTAAGCATTAAAGATGTTTAATTTAAATTTGCACATCTTAATATTTAAGAGCTCAAACTTTGACTCAGGAAGATGGGTACGCCTGCCTAGATACTACAGAGGCAGGGTTTACAAAGAATCTTGAGGTTGGGTTTTTCTTATCTCCCTGCCCTTCTGTATAATTCTGTGACTATCTATATAACTCAAAAAGGAAGCCTTGCTTATTCTGAGTCACTACCCCTCGAAATGTTAAGCACATTCCAACAGTAATTACATTGTTCATCGACCTGAAAATGGGTCACCCCACACAACTGGCTAAAAACTCTTAGGCAATCTTCCTTTGGAGGAAACAAGGACAGCTTGTACAAGTATTTCAACTAGATCTACTTCCTTAACAGAAGATGATACACATCTGCAGGTATTACCAAGTTCTAAAAGTACACGGAAAGGCAAAGGAAAAAATATGAAGAAGTTAAATTAGCCAAGTCATTTGTCCCAACCAATTTCATATTGCATCATTAATTTAAGAAAGTACACAGGCTTCTGTTGTGTCATTAGTTAATAAACAATGTCTAAAGTTCAGATATTTTTAGTTTAAAAGTTATGATGAAACAATTGTACTACTGGAAACATATGTTAAGATAAGGTTTGAGAAATAACTACATTTCTACAGGATATGTAATTGCATTTCTATAGGTTTGCTGTTAGTTTCAACAAGCTATACTGTTTAATCTAAGGGTAACAAAACTAGATTTAGCATGCCGGTTTTCAGTTTTTAAGAAAATGTATTTAAGAAATATATTTGAATGAATTTATATGGTTTGGACATTCTGTTTGTAAAGATTTAAAGATCATACCACTCAACTACATAAAGGTTTAAAAATGCCTGTATAGAAAGAACTATCCTAAAGACAAGAGAAAAACAGGAGACAGGAACCACAACATGACAGAACCTCCCAACCTGAGTGAAACCTGGGACAGGGCTGCTACCCCAACTACACAGGTATTGAGTCCCATATCCTTGGGGATCGTCTCAAAGACAACACCTCATGGCTCCCCTCCTATTTCACCATTTGATAACTCTGATGTTCAGAGGCCCTTGTAGTAATGCGGAAATATCCAATTCAATTATCCATAAAGTATTTCTTGATTACTGAGTTCAGAAAACTCACCTAAGGGACCGTGAGAGAAAATCACCAGTCGATTCTTAAAATGAACACTAACCTGAGTTCCTAGCCTGAGAAAGAATTATAGATGCTCTCTAGTATTTTTATAGCACAAAGCTCTAAAGCACGTCAAGTGGATAGATGTCAGAAAGAGGCTGTTGCTGCATTTGATTAGGAATTAGTATGACGATCCTAACTTTTCTGCATTATTTATCCTACGCAGCAATGTGAGGGGCTATAATCAAAGCATAAAACTCAGAATGTCTTTGATCTACCTCTTTTAAAAAACCCTTTTGTTGGGGTAGGGGTGTGTGTCTCATCACCAAGAGATCTAGCATTAGTTCCAAAACCAAGCCCACAGGAGCAGCAGCAGGTCTGAACCCCAGCAATTCTGAATGTGAGGCTCAGCGTGACATGTCAGAATGCTCGATATATTCCAATTTTATTTTTTTTCTGAAACTGGTCAAAATTTTATATTTTAAAATCATCTATAGAATTAAATTTTTAAAAGTTGGCTTAAGTTACTACCATCCTACAATCTCAAAATATTTAAAGCTGTCAACCTCCAAACAGATATACCTCTATAGTATCTTACACTAGAATATCTAAATTATCACTAAATGCCTTATGGGGGTGACACATTAACAATATCACTAGTTAAGGCAGAAGGAATATGAAAACGAGGAAAAAGTACCTCTTTATACATCCCACTGAGGTTTCTACTCTAGTTTCTCCAGAATTTAGAGGGCTGAAAAGATTGGGAGTGAAGAGAATGGAAAACGGTCATTTCATTGCTAGGAACCCAGAGCTGGAGTGAACAAAAGCAAAGTAGGATACAGAGAGGATTTTTAAATGACAGAATCAGAACAGATACTATATAATATTAATTCCAACAACCTAGCATTTAAAATGAGATTTAAGACATATTATTTTATTGCTAACAGCCTGAATGGACAGTGGTTCTTATGACCATTAGTTTAATCTGACCCTGAAAGACAGAAAAATCTAGAATTATAGTCATTACAATCATGCAAAGGGTACATTTTAACATCTTCTATAACACTTTGAAAGCACCGCCCTCACCCCTGCAAAGTCACTGATTTAACCAAAGTCAAAAAAAGGACAAATTCAGTTAATGAACCACTTCTGGAATTATCTCTTACGAAATGTAGAATTTTTTTTCCTCTTTGGTATCAAACTCTCTAAGGCGAGAAACTAGGTAGTTACCTACCTATAGATGGAGATTTGAAAGGGTATTTATCAGGAAGGTCCACTCTAACTTTCCATACTCCGCCTTCGTATGGTGCTGAAAGAAAAGTAAAACCATTAAAACATGAAATCCTAATCTCTTTTGAAAACCTTGCAAATTAATTCTTTCAAGAGTCAGGGACTTCTATGACTCTATGTTCAGATTAAAATACTTTTCTTTAAAAGATCTAGAGTTAGAAAATAAGCAAAGATTCACTTTTTCCCCCAAATTTATCTGATTCTTTAAAGTATTAAAGACTATTCGATTATTTGCTAACAGCCTCCTACCTCAATCTACCCCATGCCCCGCCCCCAACAAAAAAAAATAAATCAAACAAAAAAGCATTTCCCTAATCTATCCATGTGGCCATCCATAACAAAACTCAGAATTTAAAATTTGTTTAATACCATCACATAGAGATAAAAGCGAAAAGCATATAAAGTAACTATGATAACAGCAAGATTTCCTCACTTGTTCTACAGTTCAATTAAACTTACTTTTCAAAAACTACACATACCATCATCTGTCTTTGATGTTTTCATCGTCTATTAAAGAGCAGAGTAAAAGATTGTAATAGAAGAACACATACCAACAGATGTACTTACTTCCTTGTGGTCCATAAAACTTCACTACAAATTCATTGAGTCCTCCCAGGATTGTAACCTCATGTTTACTCTCAATGCTAAGGTGGAAGGTAAAGGAAATTACACAGGCTTTATATCCCCTGGAAGAACTAATGATGACATCTTCAAGATATGCCATTTAAAAAGTGTTACCAACATGTGACATGAAACCAATAAAATATACATAATAATTCTGGTAATTTAGAAGGCAACATATACACTTGTGAAAAGAATGAGTGAGCTTTAGATTCAAAGAGACTGGTGTTCAGATACCAGGACTGCCACCTACTGGGTTTGTGAGCCTAAACACAATCACGTAAACTTACTCCCTGAGCCTTTGTTCTCTTTTCGCAAATCAGGAAAACATTATTTAATAGGATTTCTGTGCGTATTAAATATGTAAAATACCTGACTTTTTTGTATATACTGTCCGTAAATGAAAAACACGCACTTAATTTTAGTTTTTCTCCCCTCTGTACTCTCTCCTTCCCAGGTGATCCCAGTGAGCCTTTAACATAAATCCAGAATTCCCCTTAGTCAAATTCAAATACTCAGCAAAACACCAATTCTCCTAAACTGCAAATGCCATGTTCCTAAAATTATGCTAAGGAAAGTCCCCATGATTTTCTCCTTGGTTTAGAGAATAGAGATACAATATTACTACGAGTAGTACTACCAAATGTAAAAGACCAGCCCTCCCGAAAGAG